TTGAAAAAAGTAGCTGTGGCAAATTTCACCTGTGTAAACAGGACCGGAGCGGGCCCGAAACTAGGCATACTAAATGAAAAACAATGTGCAAGTATTTTACTGGTATCCACCTTTTTTAAACCTCAATCCCGCAGCGACATCTGGTGGTGGTATGGAGATGACAAATTGTTTGACAAACTTCCATGTAACACCACTGGATTATGTGCTGCTGTCACCTTGATTTTACCTGTTTCTGTTACATCACCCACAACGGATGAATTGTTAACGACTGCAAACAGCATTTTACCTCACACAGAGCATACTAGAAGGAGGAGGGCATCTGAAAATGCATGGAGTGGAGATGACCCTACTTATATTGATAGCATTGGTGTACCCAGAGGTGTTCCTGATGAGTATAAACTAGCCAATCAAGTTTCTGCAGGATTTGAATCTTTCTTATGCTGGTGGTGTACTCTAAATAAAAATGTAGACAGAATCAACTACATCCATTATAACGTCCAGAGGCTGGGAAATAAAACAGAACAAGGCTTCTCCGCCGTCCATGAACAATTGTCAGCTACCTCTCTGATGGCTTTCCAGAACCGTATTGCTGTTGACATGTTGTTAGCTGAAAAAGGTGGTGTGTGCTCTATTTTTGGAGATCAGTGTTGCACCTTTATTCCCAACAACACCGCTGCAGATGGCAGCCTCACAAAGGCCCTTGAAGGCCTTCGCTCTCTTAACAGCAAAATGAAAGACCATTCTGGAGTTGACACAAAAATGTGGGATGGATTTGGAGACATTTTTGGTAATTACAAACAATTGGTGCTTTCTATTTTAATGTCTATAGCTGTATTTGCCGCCATCTTGACCTTATGCGGATGTTGTTGTATTCCATGTATTAGAGCGCTGCTAAATAGACTGATTACCACGGCAATACAACCCATGAAAGCAGAAATGTATGCCCTCATGCCCACTGAAAAATACCCATCTGATGATGAAGACAGCGCAGAAGATGAGATCTCTTTGCATTTTCCTGACTTTTATCCTAATTCCAATGATATTACCAGTAACCCACCAGTTTAAAGTACCTCTGAGTGTACCCTTTACAGCTAAAACATGATTTCATAGTTGAAAATCTGAAAAGAAGTAACTACTGAATGATAAAATAAATAGCTTAAAGTGAATAAACAGGGGGGAAATGTTGGATTAATTGTACAAGTTATTCTACTTTAATCATATTACTTTAATCATATTATTATGCTTACACACTGGGATCATATTATTATGCTCACACATTTTGTTATCCTTATTTCACTTATATCATAAAGAGTGTTGAAGTATTTTACTTGTTTGTTCTGTACTAATGTTTTAAGTCTGTGCAGATGGAGTGCTGAATGAGAGAGCTGGCTGCTCAAGGTCAGGAGAATGGAGGAATGCACTCACTAACACCGGAGAAAGGAGTGAAAGCTCTTATCTCATGATACTGTATGATGTTTTGCAGACTTCTGGTTCCGACTGGGTTTCACCCCTCCCTTAGCAGTCGGAACCAACATTGTAGTTAGGGAGTTCCTTAATAAAAGCTTGGTAGAGCGGAGACTTTTTCAGAGTGGTTTGGAGAATTGTAACTGAACAGTCTCTGATCACTCTCCTTGCAAGTAAATCATACTAAAATTCTCTGTGTCTTTATTTGTACAGGTTACTGCATAAAATGTTTGGTGTTTAAACCTAACACCAAGCCAAGGTCTGTTCATTACTAGACGTGAGACGCTGAAGCAACAAGCGGACTCTGCTGATCAACTCCTCTCCAGAGCCAACAGTGACTCTCCCAGAGCTAACCTCAAGAACCCTCAAGGTACAAACCAGAAACCCCCAAGGTCAAGCTCCTCTGATTCTTCGCTAACTAAACTGTCTCCCACGCAGACTCCAGTGAACCAGTTTCCCAGGCCCCGAACCTGAACCAGTACATTCTGTGTGTTTGTCCAAAAATAAACTCTGTTAAACCTTTACTCCTGTTTCCGCCTCAGTGGTGTTCTGCATAATTGGGTCCCCTTTGAGTACCCATCATGACAGAACACTGCGACCAACCAACAAACCCAGCGGAACCACTCTGGAGGATTCTGAATGATCTACGGGCCCAGACTCAGAGCCTTGGAACCTCCCTCCGTGAGAGCCACGAAGAACTGGCTAGGAGATTTGAATGCGTCATTCGTGATGTTCACGACCGGCTTGCAGACAGATTCCTTGGTGAGCTCAACACTCTATTTAATAAGTTTTCACAGGAGTTTTCCAGACAATCAGCTCCTAGAGCGGAGCCCGTCCAACTTCCGTTTCCGGAGCCAGAGCCTGTCACGTCACTTCCGGAATTTCGTCCGTCTCTCCCAGAGAAATTTTCAGGTATCCCAAGCAAATGCAAGGGATTTTTGTTTCAATGCCGACTTATTTTCCAGAGTTCTCCAGGCAGCTTTTCCACAGATTACAAAAAGATAGCCTTCATCCTTTCTCAGCTAACCGGAAGAGCCTTGGAGTGGGCTCAGGCAAGATTTCCCTCCGACGAAAGCCTTAATTGCTATTACTCTGACTTCATCTCCGAATTTTCTCAAGTTTTCAACCAAGATTCTGACCAAACAATAGACTCTCGTGCTCTGTTAAATCTTAAACAGGGAAATTCCTCTGTAGCGGATTTTTCCATAGACTTCCGGGTTAATGCTGCAGCCTCAGGCTGGAATGAGAGTGCACTTAAGAGTGCATTTTTCAACGCGTTAAACGAGAACGTAAAAGATGAACTCGCCACACTCGTGACACCTGAGACCCTGGAGGAATTCGTCAGGCTGACGATTAGTTTGGATAACCGTCTTCGAACCAGGTCTAAGTCAAAGATTAAGAGCCATGTTTTTCCTGTTTCATTTTCTACGGCTAAGAGAAGGGACACCCCTTCCGTTGTTTCTCCCGAAGAGGCATTCAGAACAGAGAGTCGTGCCCAGCCTGAATCTATACCTGTGTCTAAAACTCACTTTGCTCCACCAGTTTGTGAACCTACTGAGGGGGAGCCAATGCAAATAGGTCACACTAGGCTCACACCTGACGAGAGGAAGAGAAGGTTTGAGGAGAAACTTTGCTTTTACTGTGGTATACCAGGGCACTTTGTTTCATCCTGTCCAGCCAAGAATAAGATTTGGAGCTCGTCTGCTACTATGGAGAGTCTGGTGAAGCATCAACCAAATAGAAAATCCTCTCGTCTTCTTTTACCTGCTACCCTGTTCTGTTCTGATCAGACTCACACTCTGTCAGCCTTCATAGACTCTGGTTGTGAGAGAAACCTCATTGACTCTAATCTAGTTCAACAGCTAAATATTGAGACCACCCCTCTGAGGAAGCCACTTAAAGTCTCAGCGATTGATGGAAGGAGTCTACACCAGGTTACCCACAAGACTCTGCCTCTTCAGCTTCAAGTTTCAGGTAGTCATCGAGAGACCTTAACCTTTCTTGTTTTCCCATCAGCCTGTTCTCCTTTGGTTCTGGGATATGAGTGGTTGGAACGACACAACCCTCATATTAATTGGACTCATAGACACATTGAATCGTGGTCTCCCTCCTGCCATGCCTCCAGTCAGTCAACCAGTCCCCGCTCCGCCGAACCTTCTGGAGTCCCTCTACGGCCGATCCGAGCATCCAAGGGCCCTCGGTGGGCGCCTCAGGACACCACGGAGTCTGCACCGGAGTCGTCGTGGGCGGCTCTCTCCATGTTGCAGCCAGAGCTGCAGTCGGCGGTTCTCTCCGAATCTGCTCCGGTGCCGCATTGGGCGGCCCCGCCCTGCACCTATTTCTGAGCTGCTACCGGGTGTCTCCCGGTAAAATATCAGAGACTTTCTTTGTTGACGTCCACCTTTTGTGGATTGTTTTTTGTTCTGGGACTCAGTTTTTGTTTTTTCCTTTTTCTTTTCCCCTCCGTCCACCCTGGGTGGGTTGGTTTTTTGTTTTGGACTCTGCTTCTTGCCTACCTAGTATGGTGGCCCCTGCGCCCACCCTTGGTGGGTTGTTTTTTGTTCCCTTGTTTTCCCTAGGTCTTGTCTGAAGCGTCTGGAATCCGCCCTTGAGGGGGGGGTACTGTTGGGAGCTGGAGTAGTACCATCTTTCTCCAGCAGAGTCCGCCGTGGATCCTCCTGAGCAGAGCCTCCTGCACAGCTGCTGCTCATTACCATCATCAGAGGACCCACTATATAAGCTGTCTTTAAACCTTGCCTCAACGTCGCAGTGTTGTATCCAGTTGGTCAGCGCCTAAGCCTAGACTCTCTGAGTATCTTTGTGACTTCGAATCCAGCCAGGATTCTAACCATTGTCTCTATCTTCCAGGAAACCAGTGTCTCCTCTGTGAAGCTCAGGAAGAGCTAACCTGCCGAGCCGACCCTCTGAGCCAAACCTGAAGATCCATAGAGAACTTCCATGCAGCTCAGGACTAAGAGCTGGGAACCCAAGCCAAGGTCTGTTCATTACTAGACGTGAGACGCTGAAGCAACAACCGGACTGCTGATCAACTCCTCTCCAGAGCCAACAGTGACTCTCCCCTCTAAATTTACAGCTGGATATGTACCGAATATAATATACAGATGGATATTACTATTAAAAAAAGGTTTTTACAGTTATGTACAATAGCATAATATACGGATGGGTTTTACTATAAAATGAATAAATAGAGTTTGGCCAGAAGCGATCTAAATTAAAGTGCAGTGGAAGGTAATTGCATATTACAGTTAAAGTACGTTATTGCAGATGTAAATGTAAACAATTGGTGCTATGAATAAACAGTCGGCAGTGCAAATATAAGCAGTCCGCAGTGCAAATCAATAATCAGTCTAAGTTAGTAGTGCAAGATGCATATAAAGAGTTGTTACAACAGTAACAGTCAGGAGTGCAGGTGAACTTTACAGTCTTTAAAAAAAACAGAATAGCAAAATGGTGGTAGAAATACAAAGCAGATAATGGTTTTCTATTAGATGCAGGTGTAGGAGTTTTAGTCTTACCCAGGGAATTGTTGCATGTGACTAATAGTTTCCGGCAGTGGCATTCCAAAGCTCTCCGGCAGCAGGAGACTCAGCAACCCTGCCACAGTTGTGAGGCTTCCCATTAGGATGTAAGGCAGGTAGATGTAATAGGTTCCTGTTTTGTAACATTAAAGGAAAAATAACGATGGTGAAAAACAAGCTTATCTACATTCAATGGACCGTACAGCTACTCGAAACAAAAAGATAAATAAATATTCAAAGACTTAAGTGCATTACACCATTTAGTGGATTACAAAGGATTTTTGTCCCAAAGTGGCTGGTTGTTCAGTGTATTTCTTGTAGGGGCTATTCTAAGTTGTTATGTGTGCTTTCCTCCCGGATCACAGAGGCAAGAAGACTGAAACAAGTAAGACTGGAGATTTTTAAGAGCAGAAGGTTGTGTTACACAAATAATGATTAAAATAGCAAAGGTATTCAGAGCTTTCATATATGAACTCCATAATATACCTATTATTGTCTATATCCACTTATCCATGCAAGGTAAGCTAAGGGTGACACCCTGCACAGTTAACCGGTACATAACAGAACCACAAAGAGACTAACAGGAAAAACAATCCTGCTCACAGGATCGCTCCTAAAGTATTTTAGAGAGACAAATTGGCCTTAACAAGCAGGCACAATGGGAGAGAGGCCAAGCAAACACAGAAAGAAAATGCAAATGCCTTTCAGAAACACCACAAGCTGAGTCTTCAAACCCAGAAATGTTCTGCTTCCACTCTTTAAATATGCAGCCTACCTCTGGTGGGGCTTATTTAGAAACAAACCAAAAATTTATTTATATTTTCGATGTGGTCAAGTTAATTTGGCTGCTGAAGTAACACTTATTTGCAACACTCTTAATGATACTTTTGCAACCTCATTTCCCCAATAGGACAGTATAGTCTTCTAAGATTTCACAAGATTCGTGTAGAAACCAGAGCAGCAGTTGAGATACAAATCAGTTCGAATATAAGTTTGAATGATTTGAGCAAACGCTTTGGATCATTATCCTGTAAAACAACATAGGATTCCAGATTACAAATTGGCATTTCAAAGAGCTCTTTTTATATCTTGCACTGTTAAGGTTCAACGGGACAGTGGAAAACTAGTATGACACAGTTGCTATATTTAACATTATTATTTGAGGTACTGCTCACTCAAAGTTGTGCTTGAAAGTTAACAACCCATGTGATTAAAGACAGTGAAAAATCAGCTGCCAGTAAAAAAAAAAAAGAAATTGACATAAGTAATAATAAACAATGAAATAGAAAAAAAATAGAAATCCAGATTGGCGCATAGATTGTAGTGATTTATATGTGCACCCTAGATAGTTTAACAGTCAAGTAAAGGGCAACCAACCATGGGTGCACACTAAGAGCAACAGTTTAGGACTCGATTCTAAGACTTTCTTGATGCAGGTCTATGACAGGTGTTGGAATCTGGAGGTCTGTCCACTTTCTCTACCAGAGGGCGTACGAGATCTCCTGGAGCCGGAGCTGATTGCAACCACCTGTCGCTCATCTGCTCATCAGGAGATCCGTATTTAAGGAGGCAGAGGACTTCTCTCCAGTGCCAGAGTGTTTGCCAGTAACGGTTAGCAAGCTTGAGCCAACCAGCCTATCTGAACCTCTGACTCCCTGATAACCTGAACCTGATCTGTTCTCTCTTCTCTGCTTCCTAGATTGAACCTGCCTGAAACCTGAAATCCTGAAGAGTTTCTCTGCCAGTTATCTGCCTGTCCGTTCTCAGAAGAACCCTAGAGAATTATTCCTGTCAAAGCCCTGCCTGCCCGCTCTCAGAAGATTCTGGAAGGAAACTCAGATCAGTTATCTGCCAACACTCAAATTAAGCTCTGCCTCTGCCTAGCCCTCAGGCTGCCTACAGCCTCTGGACCCTCAAGGTTCCCCCCCTCAGCCACTCTGCTCAACTCCAGAACAGGTACAGCCTTGCTCTCTCTCAACCTGCAAATTACCTGGATCTCTACTAGGGATGGGGATCGTTAATATTTATTGATATCGATACCTTTATCGATACTCCTTATCGATCCGAGTCTTTATCGATACCACTATCGATACTTTTCTGTTATTTGGTGGAAAGACGATGCGACAATATGTTTTTAACAGAACTGGTATTGCTTTTATTGCTTAACAAGTGAGCATAACAAAAAAGTTTCTAGCCTTCAGTAAACATGGCTAATGTAATAGGCCACTTCTAAATGACATAAAACTAACTAGAATATATCAGCAGCACCAAATGAAAAATAAAATGTCATAATGTATATAAATTAAATGAATAATATGCTGTGTCAGAAAAAAAGGAAATAAAATATCAGCCCATAAATTAACAGGTATTTTTTTGCAGAAAAATTAACATGTCTGTCACTTTTCATCAGGTTTTTAGAGATTAGGAAAATATTTATCAAATAAATAATTTTATTTTAAATTAAATGTAATTTTTAATAAATGTTGGCATCAGTAGTTTAATTATATATTGTAAAATAATTACAGCAATATACAACTGTATTACTCATGTTTCTCGCCAAAAACTCAATTTCCCTTTTCTTTACGTTACACTTGAACGCATCATGATAACCTAATTGTCGTTTTACTGAGCCAACCTGAACACATCATCACGCAGCACGTCTGAAACTTTATTTACTTTTTAAGCTAACTAGCTTGTATGCTGCCGATTACAACACGGATTTCACAATTACCATTTTTAAGTGACCAGACAAGCTACAAAGTCTGTGTGCGCGCTAACCAGTGGTTCTCTGAGTGGATGATGAAGACGGGCCCGACTGTGGTGCGGCGGGGCAGCAGCAGGAGGAGGAGGAGTCTTTTCCGTTCAGCCATTCTCGAGTTGCGAGCAAAGTTAACTGCCAGACTTCACTTGTTTTACTTTTAATATCTGTTTGCTTACAATTTCATTCCAAAACATTGGTAGACATGCTGCAGTGATTGGATTGATTAGATTTAAATGCTGTGACGCGACTCGAGGGACACACAATTATGTTACAGGACCTCCGGGAAAAAAAAAAAAAAGACCAGACTCGATAGTGGTATCGATAAGCCCAAACGTTATTGATTTTCGGGTTTTGAAAAAACTGGAACCGGGTCCTTGATAGAACCGGGTTTCGATCCCCATCCCTAATCTCTACTAACTCCTCTGTCCCCCTCTGCAGTGAACCCACTCGTGGCCAGTCCTGGATCTAATAACTCTGTGTGTTTTCAGAACCCACTCGTAACCAGATGAGTTCCCCTCTGGATATGTTCATTTATTGTGTTCAAACACTTCAATAAACTGTTGAACTTTTCTCCTGCCTCTGAGTGTTCTGCATGTGGGTTAGGCACCTTAAACCAAACATGACAACAGGGAGTTTGGGAATGTATTATTTTTGCTCCCCTACCTTTCTGAATGCGCTAAACCAATTAATTGTGTCAAAGGTTTTTTGCGAAAATAAAGCGGCTGAAACTAAAACTTTTCCACTTGAAGAGTTGTGTTAAATGTGTCAGAGGATGAAAGACTTACTTAAATAAATAAAAAATGGAGCTATAATGCTTCCAATTCTAGAGGCCATGGAGCAGGCACCAAAAGCTGTATTCCTCAGCACAGTTGGGTACAGCTCTGCAGTGTATGCGTAGGCAACAGAGAAGGCAGTTGTTACAGCAAACTTCCCCATCATCTCAAATGTAATGGATAGAAACACCAAATCTAAAGTGAATAAAAACATTAATTTGATCAGCGTTAATCAGACAAAATCTCTAATTAAACTCAGCAGACAGTGGTTTCATACGTGCAGGTACGAGCTGTATGATGAGTAGAAATAATCCCCCTGAAGAGAGTGAAGCGAAGACACTCATTCGTCTAGAACACCAGTGAAACATAGCCCAGGACAGAACATAGGCTGGTATCTCCACAAGGGCCGACAGGAAACAGTTGAAGTAGACATTCCCGTGGAGGTTCGACGTGTTCAGGGAAAGAGCAAAGTAGCCGATGACGAGGGTGTTCCTGTGAGCATGAAAGTGAAGCATGAATAAACTAATTTTGTTTATTTCAACTTAGCAGGTTATAACTTACAGTTATTTTAACAGTTCCAATGGCTCTGAGAAGCTTTTTTTTTTCTACATCAGAAAACCTTCCACTCTTTAAAGTTGAGATTATATCTTATACCTGAAGTGGCTTAAAAAACTGAAGTGGTCTTAAAGGAGAATTCCGGTTTTTAACACTTTTAGCCCATTTTCTGTAGTGTCCAGGATGAAATTGAATGATCGACACCAAAATTTTGACAATTGGTCCTGTCTCTGCTTTTTGGCTCATGCAGAATCCCCCCTGGCTGCTTTAGAATGGCTTCCATTGTGCATGTCCGATAATGTCCTTAAAACAACCTTAAACGTTCTTTTTTTAAAATATGCTACTCATATGTCGTCAGCGCTGTTCAATGACGTTCCAAAAAAAGTTTCGTAAAGAAAAAACGTTCCTGTAGTGTTTTATTTAGCATTTTGTAAATCCCATTGAGTTCTGTTGGAATAGTCAATATTCCCCTGCCACCGGAAACGGAAATGGGGCCTGTTTACACAGTTGTAGTCTTTTCGCTTCACTCTGTGTACTCCGACGTCGAGGTGCTAACGTCTCTGTTAAACACTTTAAAAAACTCTGAAAATGGAATACGAAAGGTGGATTCTTGATTCTCGACGTTGGAGTACACAGAGTGAAGCGAAAAGACTACAACTGTGTAAACAGGCCCCATTTCCGTTTCCGGTGGCAGGGGAATATTGACTTAAAAAAAGAACGTTTAAGGTTGTTTTAAGGACATTATCGGACATGCACAATGGAAGCCATTCTGAAGCAGCCAGGGGGGGATTCTGCATGAGCCAAAAAGGAGAGACAGGACCAATTGTCAAAATTTTGGTGTCGATCATTCGATTTCATCCTGGACACTACAGAAAATGGGCTAAAAGTGTTAAAAACCGGAATTCTTCTTTAAATGTTTTCTATATATAAAATTTTTTGTTTATTTATTTGTTAGTTTATAGCTTTGGAGTGTCTGATATATTGCTAATGCTAGTCACTTTTAGATTCTCCTTAAACTTTCAGAATGAGAGACAAAATTAAAAAAAAATTTTTTATGAAAGTTATGTATTTAAAAAAATGCAGCATGACGCTTGGTATGTCTAGCATGGTATTCGCTTGTAATGTTTCACTAATATCAAACTGGAGCTGTTTTCTCCACTCAATAAACAAAATGAATCCATGCTGTGCAATAGGATAAAGCTGGTTTGATGAGAGCGGTTGCTGGAGACCATTTAACATATCTTTGATGTTTAAAGAAATGTTATGAAGTGCAATTCAGATGACACATGGACAAAAGGTGACACAGCGAAGCACAGTGCTGTATGTGAAAAAATGTGTCCCTGTGTATTTGTAACTGTAGTTGCTGGGTGGAATGTGGAGGCCCACTGGGACTCACCAGATCACCCACAGCGTGATCGAGATCCAGCGGATGTTTGGAGAACGAATCAGGTCACAGATGTTGTAGCTCCTCCTGTCCTCTGTTTTAACTCCATTCTGTGAAGCAGCAGAGCATGAAGAACAACAGACATCTAATTAACAAGCTGAGAAATCTGTCAAGAGGGAAAGTAATTAAAGGGAGGGTTTTGAGTTCACTAATGCATCCTGAGTCATCTTGTGGTTTCAACCTGCATTGTAAAGTTTAGAGACTGATTTCAGTTTTTTTCTTGTGCAAAAAAGCACAGGAATCTGAAATTGAGAGTGTTACAAATCCTATTTCACGTATTACTTGTGAATCTCCATAGGGTTTTAATCTAGGCTTTGACTAATTTAAACCATTCATTTTTAACTCTTGTTCTAATTATTGCCCCACTGTGTATATATACACACATCACAAGAGTGTGTATGTGTGTGTGTGTGTTTTTCTTACATTGTGGGGACTGCTCTAGTGGGGACCAATGTTCATTCCCCATGAGTACAAATGCTGTTTTAAGGTAAGGTGGCAGGTTTAGGACTAAGGTGTGAATTGAATTTAGGTTAGGGATAGGGTTAGGTATGAAACCGTAATGGTTAGGTTTAGGATAAGGTTTAGGGTAAGTTTTTAACCTTAGACGTGAGAACAGTTGTACAAAGTGAGGACATTTTGGCCGGTTCTCACAAGCTATTTTGCTAACAGTTCGGTTTAGGGCTAAGGTGGGTTAAGCTTAGGGTGAGGTATGTACTGGTGAGGGTTAGGTTTTATTTTTAGGGTTAAGAAGTAGTAGAGATTGTCAGCACATGGTCCACACTTCATATAGCAAGACGAGAGTGTGTCTATGTGTGTCTGCATTAAGGCTGCACAATATATTGGAAATGTAATTTTATTGCAATCACAAGCTGTGCAAAAAGCATACCCCAAAAAACAGCATAAACTGCATTCGATGGTTGGCTCAACTGTTTGCATTTATGCTCTACATTATTTTTTGTCAATCACACAGAGGGTTGAATTATTTGAAAAATAAAATTAAGGTTTCCACAAATTTGAAAGCACATGGAAAGCCATCTTGTTCCCCTCCTGATTCAGCCGAGACTGACTCGAAACCGAGCCAAAACGAATCAGCCAATCATGTTGCAGTATTATGGTTTAATGCAGAGCATAGGGCTATAACAAAATCAATACTCAAGCCCACAGTCAAACGACAGGCGCGTTCGAATTCATGGGCTTCGTCTTCCAAGCGCCCAGTCTACCTGGGTCTACTGGGCCCTTGGAAGCTTTCACCACCGTACGCTCTGTCGCTTTGCAACCATGACAGTTGATACACAAAGCAGGAAAAGAATAAATACCAAACTTTTCAAAACTGTTTCCTTTTAATTTTTTTAAATTGTTTTGATATTGTAAAGTGAACTAAAACTACACTAATGAGAATACCGGGTTGAAATAATGTGACAACCACCGGGAGCTTGAACAAATAAAAATAAACCTTAGTCAGTTAAATAATATTATGCGGTCATTTTGCACATCTCTGATGTTGCTGCTATTTTCAAATCTCCATTACTGTAAAAATTTCCATAGCTGTATATTGGTTATTTAATCTCCAGGTGCACAGTTTTTTATATTGTTATAAAACTTTACAGTACCGTATTTTATTGTTTATCTTTTAACTCTTCACTATTGTATTACTCTTATATATTTTCTAAGGTCTACATTTGTGTGACCATTTTTTCTATAATCTTTTTTTCTGCTTGACAACACCAGAATTTCCCCATTGTGGAACAATATAGGGATTTTCTATTCTATTCTATTGTATAAAAAATATATCTGCAAAATCTCTTATATTTAACAAATAATACTTAGTTAAACAAAGAGTGCAAAATAGCAATTCAAAAATAGAAATCATATCAGATTTCTAGTCCCCACACTGAAGATATATTAGAATTTGTCCTTAAATTACAGCCAAACCCATTTATAAAAACTTTTAGATAAATCAAACACTACCTGCCACATATCTGACTCAATAACCATTAAAACAAGTATTTTTATTAATTTCAGACGTAGCTATTCACATTCTTGTATTATATTAAACTGAACTTCCATTATTCACTATTCACTGATGCCAAGTACCTTTTTCCTCAGAGCACGGAACAGCTGGCTTGCTTTTGCGCAATGAATCCTGGAATAACCAAGGCTACGTAGGATACACCTGACCCGTTGATGTGTCCTTTTGGGCAAAAGGAATGACGCATTTGTAGGTCACATAACGAGGAGTGTTGGAGTCCGACCAGGCCTTGGCATCACGCTATGACATAATCGGCCTACCAATCTGGCCTTCGGAGGACGCAGCCCATGAATCCGAACGCACCCTACAACAAACATGGCACTGCAGGAGGATGTGCTGTACTTCATTTATCACGTCTGTTTGAACCAATCCATGGATTGCTTCTTTCAAAAAGGAACAAGTGTGCAAATAAAAGTTCTTTTGGTTTCTCGGCATCTACAGATATTTAATTTGTTGCTGTGATTAGCTGAAGCCAAACTTTGAAAGACAGATTTGGCACTAGATGTAATAGGGTTCTGCTAAATGTCCCCACTTTTCCCAAACAAATTTAATGGGATCAGGCCTAGATTTGTCTTTAAAACTAAACCTAAGTGTTACACATTATTAACCTGGCTTTCCAAGAGCAAATGCAAGACATGCCAATAACATGTATTGCACACTGCTTACAGTATTTACTGAGATTTTTGCTTTCCTAATCAAGCCTGTCAGTTTCCTACACAGTACTTTTGTGTGATAAACTCCTAGATTTCCTACATGTTCTGTTGAAGGATAAAGATGGGAAATGGATGGCAGCAAGCATGATGAGTTAGTTGGGTGTCGAGGAGTTTTTTTTCTCCAGGTCACCTTGGCTCACCTGTCAGAAGGGGGTGTGACGAAGCACTTCCTGCTGACTTCCTGCTTGGATTAGCTCTGTAAATGGTATGTGTGTCGCTACCTGATCCGTCTCAGAAGCACGATCCATCCTGCGCATGCACCATCAGCTCATTTGCGCATGCGTATCCAGATATACGCCCTCATTAAAAAAACCTAAATGATGTTTTTCCCTCCCCAAAAATAGTTAGTGTACTAAAATAATATATGTTAAAAGTTAATTATGTATTTCCTGAGAAAATAAATGCCTTAAAATCTTTTGTGTTTCATCACTCGTCTCTGCCTGTGTTGGGATCTGGAGTTCTGCCACCTTTCTCCAGCAGAGGGCGTCCTGTGTCTCCTGAGCTGAGTCACCTGCACACCTGAGGCTCATCCTCTCATCAGGAGACCAACTACTTAAGCAGCGGCCAGACCTGTCTTCAGTGCCAGAGTGTTACCAGTTATGGTTAGCTGAACCTGAGCCAAGCCTGCTGATCTAATACTCTGAGGAGTAATCTGATCCTAATCTGTTTTTGTCTTCTCTGCTTCCTAGACCTGCCTGCCTGCCCTGACAGCCAAACCTGAAGAACCTCAAGCTGAGTCTGTTCCAGTTCTCAGGAGAGAACCTTGGCTGACCACTCAAAGTCTGAGCTCAAGTCTGAAGTCAAGTTCTGCCGCTGCTAGCTCTCTGCTGAACCCTCAAACTCTGGACCCAACTGGTTCCCTCTCTCACTGCGTCAATCTGAATCTCTCCAGGTACAGATCAGTATCTGACTGTGTCAAGATTCCCCAGACCTCTGGCTAACCTAATTATCCCTTCTCTACAGAGAAACCCTTGTGAAGTCATCCCGGACCAGAATCAGTATCAGTGATTTATTCTGTGTGATTCAAAATAAACTGTTGAACTTTTTACCCCTGTCTCCGTGGTGTGTTCTGCATTTGGGTTTGATCCCCATACCCAACATGACAGAACACTCTGGCCACAAACAAGACCCAGCAGACCACCTCCGGAGGTTAATCGAGGAGCAAGCTGCGCAGATTCAAGGACACGCTCTAACCCTCCGTGAGTTAAACACACGCCTGGAACACCAAACCCAAGTTTTTCAGGATTTTGCAGGCTACGTGAAAATGCTAACGCAGCACCTGCTCAACTTCCGTTTCCGGAGCCACATCCGCCTCAAAGGTCAGATTCTGTCACGTCACTTCCGGAATTCCGTCCGTCTCTTCCAGAGAGATTCTCAGGTACCCCAAATAAATGCAAAGGATTTTTGTTCCAATGCAGATTAATTTTTGAACATTCGCCTACCAGTTTTTCAAATGACTATAGAAAAATAGCCTTCATTTTGTCTCAACTTTCTGGTCGAGCCCTGGAATGGGTGGAGGCTAAATTTTCTTCTGAATCCAGTTTTCGCTGCACTTTTCCGAGTTCATAACTGAATTTTCTCAGGTCTTTAACCAAGATTCATACAAATCTATTGATTCCCGAGCTCTGCTCAGATTAAGACAAGGAAATCAGACGGTGGCAGATTTTTCTATTGACTTCCGGGTCAAAGCCGCCGCTTCTGGTTGGAATGAGTGTGCGCTTAAGAGTGCTTATTTTAAGGCTTTAAATGAAGACATCAAAGACGAACTTGCTACAATTGACGAACCAGCTAGTTTGGAGGAATTAATCAAGTTAACCATTCGGCTGGATAACAGACTTCGAACCAGAACCAGATCAAGGCAAGGAAGCCATGTTTTTTCTGCTGCTGCCTCCACATCTAACGGCACATCTGTTTTTTCTGAATCCCCAGAGTCCAGTACCAGACCAAGAACTAAGAATCAGTCTGTATTCGCCCCTGTTCAGGCTACTCACGTTGTCTCCTCGTCCACAGAAAGGCCCGAGGTTGAACCCATGCAGATTGGCCATACTAGGCTTTCCAATGAAGAGAGGCAGCAAAGATTCCAAGGGAAATTGTGCCTTTACTGTGGTGAGCCTGACCATTTCATTTCCTCGTGCCCAGCTAAATCAAAAGCCGGGGTCCGTCAGGGGATGTGAGGAGTCTGACGGACCATCTACAATCTGGAAAATCTCCTCACCTCCTGTTACCTGCAACTCTATTCTACTCTGATCAAACGCTTACTTTGTCAGCCTTCATAGATTCTGGATGTGAAAGAAATCTAATTGATGCT